CCAGTTTATTGTGGTAGATGATTATTTTAATTGATTCTTGAATTCAATTTGCTGACATTTTGTTTGGAATGTTTGCATATAAATTCATGAGAGACAGTGGCCTGTAGTTTTTGTTTGTTTGTTTGTTTCTGGTCCTTTCTCTGATTTTGACATTTGAGTAATACTGGGCTTATATTAGTTGGGAAGTGTTTCTCCTATTTTCTGGAAGAGATTATGTAAAAAGGATACATTCTTCTTTATAAGTTCGATAGAATTCTCTAGTAAAAGCTGGGCATGGTGGCATGTGACTGTAGTCCCAGCTACTTGGGAGGCTGAGGCAGGGGAATTGCTTGAGCCCAGGAGTTCAAGGCTGCAGTGAGCTATGATCACATCACTGCACTCCAGCTTAGATGACAGAGCAATACTCTGTCTCAAAACAAATTAAAAAGGAAAAAAAGAAAAAAAGAATTCTCTGGTAAAACGATTGGCCTAGAGATTTCTTTTTTAAGAGCTTTTAAATTATGGCTTTAAGTTAATTTAATGTCATAAGGTTATATTCATCTTACTTAGTTTGAAAGGTTTGAGTTTTGGTAGTTTGTGATGTTTGAGGAATTGGCCTATTTTTTCAAAGTTATTGAATTTATTAGCTTGGAGTATTTATTTTTCTCACTTTATTTTAAACGGCTGCTGCATCTATAATGATATTTACTGTTTTATTCCTAATATTGATGATGTGAGTCTTTTTATCTTTGCCAGTCTGGTTGACTAATAGACCAATCAGTGAATTTATTGGTTTTCTTCTTTTGTTCTTTAATAACTGTATTGTGTTACAATGACTTTTCTATTTTTTGTTTTCAGTTTTACGGATTTCTACTTTTTGTTTTTTAGATGGAGTCTTGCTCTGTCACCAGGCTGGAATGCAGTGGTGTGATCTCGGCTCACTTCATCCTCCACCTCCCAGATTCAAGCAATTCTCCTGTCTCAGCCTCCTGAGTAGCTGGGACTACAGGCACATGCCACCATACCCAGCTAATTTTCGTATTTTTAGTATAGACAGAGTTTCACCTTGTTGGCCAGGATGGTCTCGACCTGTTTACCTCTTGATCTGCCTGCCTTGGCTTCTCAAAGTGCTGGGATTACAGGTGTGAGCCACCATGCCTGGACCATCCTGCCATTCTTATTATTTATTTATTTATTTATTTATTTATTTATTGAGACAGAGTTTCGCTCTTGTTACCCAGGCTGGAGTGCAATGGCGCGATCTCAGCTCACCGCAACCTCCGCCTCCTGGGTTCAGGCAATTCTCCTGCCTCAGCCTCATGAGTAGCTGAGATTACAGACACGCGCCACCATGCCCAGCTAATTTTTTGTGTTTTTAGTAGAGACGGGGGTTTCACCATGTTGACCAGGATGGTCTTGATCTCTTGATCTTGTGATCCACCCACCTCGGCCTCCCAAAGTGCTGGGATTACAGGCTTGAGCCACCGCACCCGGCCGCCATTCTTATTTTATCTGAAACCGCTTTCCATTCAGCGGCTGGATTATTATAAAACAAATCTCAAACACCATGTTTTGTCTAAAAATACTCTGATATATATCTCAAAGAGATATGTATTCCTTTTTTCCTTTTTGTTTAGCATAACCAGTAAGCCAATATCACACAACAAAATAACACTAATTCCTTGATATCACATAATACCCATCATTTGCATTTCTCTAAATTGTCATAAATATCTTTTTAAGATTGGTTCATTTTAATTAGGAGCCAAAGTTCACAAGGTGCATTTGGTTAGTATGGCTCTTAAGTCTCTATTAGTAAAGAAAAGAGTCCTTCCATGTCCATTCTCTTGTAATTTTTTGAAGAAGTGGGTCATTTGCTACCTTTTGAATTTAGCTGATGTCTTAGTTTTCATATTGTTTAGTATGTTTCACTCTCCTTCCTACTCCTATGAATGGCTTGTTAGATCTGGGGGCTTGATAAGATTTAGATTTGAGGCCAGGTGCGGTGGCTCAAGCCTGTAATCCCAGCACTTTGGGAGGCCAAGGCGGGTGGATCACGAGGTCAAGAGATGGAGACCATCCTGGTCAACATGGTGAAACCCTGTCTCTACTAAAAATACAAAAAATCAGCTGGGCATGGTGGCACATGCCTGTAATCCCAGCTACTCAGGAGGCTGAGGCAGGAGAATTGCCTGAACCCAGGAGGCGGAGGTTGCGGTGAGCCGAGATCGCGCCTTTGCACTCCAGCCTGGGTAACAAGAGCAAAACTCCGTCTCAAAAAAAAAAAAAAAAGATTTAGATTTGAATTTTATTTTTTGGCAAGAATACTTCATAAGTAGTGTAATAAAATTAATTACTAAGTCATGTCAGCAGGCACATGATAGCTGGTTCGTGTTACTAGCTAGTAACAGATGTTACTAGCTGATCTATCCATTGTACATTTCCCTTCAGCATTTCAACTGAAACATTCCAGCAGCCATTAATAATTACTGTCTAAATCCATTATTTCATTAGTAGTTATACATGATGGTATTTTAATTTTATCATAACTTCTTTATTTATTAGCTAGAATCATTCTATAAAGAACTTTTCTTCACCAGTTGTTTGGTTATCCTATGACACAGAACTTATAAAAAACATTTAGATATAATTCTGATTACCTTAATTACCATTAATGAAAGTAAAAATTCCATACTTTGACCAAACTGTTTTTCCTATACCGCTTTTCTGACACATTGTTAGACAGACTTCTCTCCATTTATATAAACCTATTTGCTGTTCCGTAAACTTATTGTGTATTTTCTTATCTCTACAACCTTTATTCTTGTCTTTTCTGGGCATTGTCCCCTCACCCTATATTCTGTGTTATTCCTTTGTATTTTCCAAGTTAAATCCCTCAACTCTGTGGAATGTAAACTTACTCCCTCATGTAAAATGTACTTTTTGTTTCTTTGGGCCTTTAGTGTATTCCACATAAAGTATCTACTTTGTAACACCTTAATGAATTTTTTTTTTTTTTTTTGAGACGGAGTTTCGCTCTTGTTACCCAGGCTGGAGTGCAATGGCGCAATCTCGGCTCACCGCAACCTCTGCCTCCTGGGCTCAGGCAATTCTCCTGCCTCAGCCTCCTGAGTAGCTCGGATTACAGGCACGTGCCACCATGCCCAGCTAATTTTTTGTATCTTTAGTAGAGACGGGGTTTCACCATGTTGACCAGGATGGTCTCGATCTCTCGACCTCGTGATCCACCCGTCTCGGCCTCCCAAAGTGCTGGGATTACAGGCTTGAGCCACTGCGCCCGGCTCCTTAATGAATTTTTTATGTCTTCTTTTTTTCAAAAAAAAAAAAAAAATTAAGTCTAATTTATTTTCCAAGTCTTTTAAGTTGCTAGAAGATTGGAAAAATAATTACTTCTGTGTTCCCAGGGCTAGCCTAAGGGTTAGTCCTAAACTGATCAGAAAGTGTATTGCAATCTGGGCACGGTGGCTCACGCCTGTAATCCCAGCACTTTGGGAGGCTGAGGCGGGTGGATCACGAGGTTAAGAGATCGAGACCATCCTGGTCAACATGGTGAAACCCCGTCTCTACTAAAAATACAAAAAATTAGCTGGGCATGGTGGCACGTGCCTGTAATCCCAGCTACTCAGGAGGCTGAGGCAGGAGAATTGCTTGAACCCAGGAGGCAGAGGTTGCGGTGAGCCGAGATTGCGCCATTGCACTCCAGCCTGGGCAACAAGAGCGAAACTCCGTCTCAAAAAAAAAAAAAAGAGGCCGGGTGGGGTGGCTCACGCCTATAATCCCAGCCCTTTGGGAGGCCGAGGCAGGTGGATCACGAGGTCAAGAAATCGAGACCATCTTGGTCAACAAGGTGACCCCGTCTCTACTAAAAATACAAAAATTAGCCGGGCATGGTGGTGCACACCTGTAGTCCCAGCTACTTGGGAGGTTGAGGCAGGAGAATTGCTTGAACCCAGGAGGCAGAGGTTGCGTTGAGCCAAGATTGTGCCATTGCACTCCAGCCTGAGTAACAACAGCGAAACTCTGTCTCAAAAAAAAAAAAGAAAAGAAAGTGTATCACAGTCATTCATCCAGTTGCTAGAAAACTAAAACACAGCATATTTCAGTTGCCAGTTTTGAAAAGTGAGTAATTGACTATAGTACAGAACAAACAGTAGAAATTCTTGATTGGATTTCCGTGTTCCACAAAATATGGAAAACTAGGTATTTAATATGCACATATATATAATATTGCTTAGAAATTCCTGCATTATATAGGTGTATACGTTTGTCAAAACTTTAAATGGTAAAGATTGGTGCGTTTAATTGTATGTAAATTTTACCTAAGAAAGGTCAACAAGTTTTGCATTTTGAAATATTAGGAGAGACCAGGAGTGTGGCTGACATCTGTAATACCAGCACTTTGGGAGGCCGAGGCTGGTGATCACCTGAGGTCAGCAGTTCGAGACCAGCCTGGCCAACATGGTGAAACCCCTTCTCTACTATAAATACAAAAATCAGCCAGGCGTGGTGGCTCATGCCTGTAATCCCAGCTACTCGGGAGGCGGAGGTAGGAGAATCGCTTGAACCTGGGATGCAGAGGTTGCAGTGAGCCAAAATCATGGCATTGCACTCCAGCCTGGGCAACAGAGCGAGAGTTTGTTTCCAAAAAAAAAACAAAAAGAAAAACAAAAATAATATTACGAGGAAGTGTGGTATCATCTGCAACTTACTTTCAAATGTACAAAAAAGCAAGATGGATGGATGAAAGAATGGCTTAGATGTATGATAAAGCAAGTAAAGTGTTATAGAGCCTAGGTGATAGGTATACAGTTCTTACTGTAGAGTTCTTTCAAATTGTCTGTATGTTTGAAAATTTTCATAATAAAATATTAGAGAAATGGGAGTGAGTTTTTAAAAAGCAGATGTAATTTAAAACAAGACCTGTATTCCATATTCCTAAATATAGTCTCTCTAACCCCCTAAGCTGACTATGCACATTGAACAGGCATGTGCCCTTACAGGGATCAGTGTCCTTCAGGGATGTGGCTATAGATTTCAGCAGAGAGGAATGGCGGCACCTGGACCCATCTCAGAGAAATCTGTACCGGGATGTGATGCTGGAGACCTATAGCCACCTGCTCTCAGTCGGTAAGTGCAGTCACCTTTGTATCTGAAAGGAGGCCTCACTGAGAATGCTTCCATTCTCATTCCATTCCATTTGAATACTGTCAGCATCTTAAATAGCTGATGGTTTTGTCCTTAATTTGTCTAGGTTTCTTTATTTGTTTAGGGCACACAGAATATTACTCTGAGAAGTTATGGTTACTTTTCTCAAGAAAAAATTCTAAAGAGTAAGACTTTATTGATTAGTCCCTGAAACATAATTAGCTTGACCCAGACCTTTATCATTTCTCATGAACAGGGTATCAAGTTCCTGAAGCAGAGGTGGTCATGTTGGAGCAAGGAAATGAACCATGGGCATTGCAGGGTGAGAGGCCACATCAGAGCTGCCCAGGTGAGTGAAGTATGACTTGGATAGATGGGAGATGGGAGGAAATCTCAGCTGTCTTGAGAAACACTGACACCCTTGGAATACTATTAAGATGATTTTTCTGGAATATTCTGAATTTTTTTGTATTGCTTAATGCCCCTTGGCCTCTCCGATCACTGAATGCCTTCTCCCTACATAACCTTTGTCACTTCTTTTTTGTCACAGCCTGGGCTGAGTTGGCAAGGCTGGAGATCAGTGGTGTGATCTCAGCTCACTGCAACCTCCGCCTCCCAGGTTCAAGTGATTCTTGTGCCTCAGCCTCCTGAGTAGCTAGGATTACAGGTATGTGCCAGCCACCATGCCCAGCTAATTTTTGTATTTTTAGTAGAGACAGGGTTTCACCATGTTGGCCAGGCTGGTCTCAAACACTTGACCTCAAGTGATCCACCCACTCTGGCCTCCCAAAGTGCTGGTATTACAGGCATGAGCCACCTTTGTTCTTTGGCTTTGTGGATTCTGAATCATGTGCCACTCTGCCTCATTCAAGATCTCCCTTTCTTGGTTATGCTCATTTTCTCTAACTTTCTTCTTTTCTTCGACTTACCCCATAGTCCTAGAGTCTTTCACATTCAGACATTCATGGATCTACTTTCTTTCAAAGTTACTCGGTGTCACACACACTCCGACTCCTGCTAGTCACTTTTCTTTCTTTTTTTTTTTAAACCGTGAGATGCCTCAGAACTTTTTCTCCAATCAGCCTCTCTTTTTGGTTTCTCAACAAAACAAGGAAATGGAGGAAATGGCTGTGGAGGGAATGGCTGTGAAATTTCTTAATTTTTCCCGGTCCTTCATGCCTTTTATCCAGCTGATGACTTGGGGGTCACTGTTACTTAATCTTTGTGATTATCTTTCTGCCTTCTTTAACATGATTAATCGCCCTTCCTGACCTTTATTCCTGATGTTGCTTGAGTGATTCTATGTTGACCAGGGTTCATTTTTGTTGTTGTTGTTTTTGATTGCTTTATTTTTATAGTTTAGCTGATGAGGTTTGAGTTTAATCATGGTTCTCAGTTTAAGACACACTATCATCAAGAGCTGGGGTGAGGATTCTCTCTTATTTATTTTTTGATTTTTTTTTCTCTTTCCCCCACATCCATTTCCCTACTTGTCATAGCCACTGTTTTATATGATGGGAACATTTTTTATTTCATGCATGTTTAAGTGAATTAAGAGTTTGGATCATTAGTTTATATGAATGATACTGTGGTATATATAGCGTTTTTTGCCTTACTTTTCCTCCATCTGTCCATGGTGTTATCTCTTCATCTAGTTTGTTTCCTCTAACTACTGAATTGTTTTCTAGAACGTTTCCTATCAATACTATCACCCACCACCTTTATCTTCAAGTTACTCACCTTCACCCTTTTCTCTGTGTTCAGCCTGGATGAGACATTTGTACCATTCCCTCTAGCCTCTGCTAGCTGTTCTTTGAGCTAAAAAAAAACTGTTTCTCATTTGAGCAGAGAAGTTTATGTTGCAGACCTTATAGCAAGGAATCTCTGAAGAGGTTTCTTTACATATTGAAAGAAAAGGACATGATAAAAGTGATGTGAGATTCTATTTTATTCTAGAATAATTATGACAGATTGGTGACAAATAGAGAGCTATCAGCAAAGAAAATAAATACTAAAATGATATTGCTTTTATCAAGAAAATATTACAACAAAGAGGCATTATGACTTTAGGGATAGAAGAAAAATAATTTATGTCAGCCCACACATCACTTATCCTCCCAAAAGGCCCCATCAATGTGGCTCATTTGGAAATGGATTAAAGCATAATTTAGATTTACACAGTCATAATAAAAATAATGCTTCAAATAATGTTAAAAAGATTACCAAATGATAAAATTTCTTCCAATACTAACCATGAGTGTATTCCAACAGGAGAGAAATTATGGGACCATAATCAATGTAGAAAAATCCTCAATTATAAACAAGCGTCCTCTCAACCTCAAAAAATGCATCCTGGGGAGAAACCTTACGCATGTGCCAAATTTGAAAAGATATTCACCCAGAAGTCACAGCTCAAAATACACCTGAAAGTTTTTGCAGGAGAAAAACTCTATGTATGTATTGAATGTGGGAAGGCTTTTGTACAGAAGCCAGAATTTATTACACACCAGAAAACCCATATGAGAGAGAAACCCTTTAAATGCAATGAATGTGAAAAATCCTTTTTCCAAGTATCTTCTCTCTTCAGACATCAGAGAATTCATACCGGAGAAAAACTCTTTGAATGTAGCCAATGTGGGAAAGGCTTCTCTTATAATTCAGATCTCAGCATACATGAGAAAATTCATACTGGAGAGAGACACCATGAATGTACTGAATGTGGCAAAGCATTCACACAAAAGTCCACACTCAAGATGCATCAGAAAATCCATACAGGTGAGAGATCCTATATTTGTATTGAATGCGGACAGGCCTTCATCCAGAAGACTCATTTGATTGCACACCGAAGAATTCATACTGGAGAAAAACCATATGAGTGCAGTAACTGTGGGAAATCCTTCATTTCCAAGTCACAACTTCAGGTACATCAACGCATTCACACAAGAGTAAAGCCCTATATATGTACTGAATATGGGAAGGTCTTTAGCAATAATTCCAACCTCATTACACATAAGAAAGCTCAAAGTAGAGAGAAATCTTCTATATGTACTGACTGTGGGAAGGCCTTTTCCTACAGGTCAGAGTTGATTATACATCAGAGAATTCACACTGGAGAGAAACCTTATAAATGCAGTGACTGTGGAAAAGCCTTCACTCAGAAGTCAGCACTCACAGTGCATCAGAGAATTCATACAGGAGAAAAATCATATGTATGCATGAAATGTGGACTGGCCTTCATTCAGAAGGCACACTTGATTGCACATCAAATAATTCATACTGGAGAGAAACCTTATAAATGTAGTTACTGTGGGAAATTGTTTACCTCCAAGTCACAACTCCATGTTCATAAACGAATTCACACAGGAGAAAAGCCCTATATGTGCAATAAATGTGGGAAGGCCTTCACCAACCGGTCAAATCTCATTACACATCAGAAAACTCATACAGGGGAGAAATCTTATCTATGTTCCAAATGTGGAAAGGCCTTCACCCAGAGGTCGGACTTGATTACACATCAAAGAATCCATACTGGGGAGAAACCTTATGAATGTAGTACTTGTGGAAAAGCCTTTACCCAGAAGTCTCACCTCAATATACACCAGAAAATTCATACTGGAGAAAGACAGTATGAATGCCATGAATGTGGGAAAGCCTTCAACCAGAAATCAATTCTCATTGTTCATCAGAAAATTCACACAGGAGAGAAACCCTACGTATGCACTGAGTGTGGAAGAGCTTTCATCCGCAAATCAAACTTTATTACTCATCAAAGAATTCATACTGGAGAGAAGCCTTATGAATGCAGTGACTGTGGGAAGTCCTTTACCTCCAAGTCTCAGCTCCTGGTGCATCAGCCAGTTCACACAGGAGAGAAACCCTATGTGTGTGCTGAGTGTGGGAAGGCCTTTAGTGGCAGGTCAAATCTCAGTAAGCACCAGAAAACTCATACCGGAGAAAAGCCCTACATTTGCTCTGAATGTGGGAAGACCTTCAGACAGAAGTCAGAGTTGATTACACATCATAGAATTCATACTGGAGAGAAACCTTATGAGTGCAGTGACTGTGGGAAGTCTTTCACTAAAAAATCACAGCTCCAGGTGCATCGACGAATTCACACTGGAGAGAAACCTTATGTGTGTGCTGAGTGTGGGAAGGCCTTTACTGACAGGTCAAATTTGAATAAACATCAGACAACACATACTGGAGACAAACCCTACAAGTGTGGCATCTGTGGGAAAGGGTTTGTTCAGAAATCAGTGCTCAGTGTCCATCAGAGCATTCATGCTTGAGAGAAACGGTATGAGAAAACCTCGCTGAGGGATGGGTCTGATTGTACATTGTTGCATTCACGCAGCAGAAAAATATGTATATTGTTATAAATGGAAATGACCACATCAAAATGTCACACATGACTGTTCTGGAGAAGGCCTCTGAGAAGGCCCCGAATGAGGTGAGGGACCCTTCCAACCTTGTCACCAGCCTCAATAAACCTTCGGGCATTCATACTGACAAGGAACTGGGTCAATCTGGTACATAGGAAAAGCCTTCTCATGAAAAGTACAATGAAACACTGTTACCAAATTCTTTGTAAGAAAGATTATATTATGTTAATGATAATCTTATTTACTGTGGAATAGGTATAGTGCCAACAAATAGAATGATAAAACAACATAATGCGTAGTTATGATAGTGATGAATCAGTTCTGTGAGTTGTTCATTGCAGAACACATTGTCTAACAGATTTGTGGGTGTTTTCTTTCTCATTTCAATCTACCACAGTTGATCATATCCAACCCTCATTCAGTATTTCTATCAAGGAAGAGATGCTATAATAATAAAAAAAAAAACTTTTATGTTTACAGATGTAAACCTCAGAACATATGTTGAGTCCCCATTGTTATCTAGCATGAAGACATGCAGTCCCCCTCATTATCTGCGAGGACTCTCTCTGAGCCTCACAAACCCTCAGCACATTGTCTTCTGCCCTCCAGCACAGTGTCTTGTGAACTCCCATCCCCTTCAAGAAAGCTTCTGAGGTAAAAATTTTCAGGTCATCTGAGAAAACTTAAAAATCCCTTCTGCTGTTATATTTCTTCCAATTCAGTTGCCTTTTTTTTTCCCTTTACTTGTCACTGACTTGAAGCTTAGCATTTGGCTTCCTTAATGATGGAACTTTCATATAACAGATCAATAACTTATATGAAAACCAATACCACTGTATGTTTAGGGGAAGAAAGGGACACAGCCAAGGCAAAGACTGGAGGTCAAAACCAATGTCACCATGTGTTTAGGGCCTGGTGTATTTTAGGCAAGTTGGTTCTCCCTACTGAAGCTAACTTTTTTTTTTTTTTTTTTTTTTTTTTTTTTTTTTTTTTTTTTTTGAGATGGAGTCTTGTTCTGTTGCCAGGCTGGAGTGTAGTGGTGCGATTTTGGCTTACTGCAACCTCAGCCTCCTGGGTTCAAACAATTCCCCTGCCTCAGCCTCCTGAATAGCTGGGACTACAGGTGCATGCCACCACACCCAGCTAATTTTTTGTATTTTGATAGAGATGGGGTTTCACCATATTGGCCAGTTATATCATATAGTTGAAATCATACAGTATGTAGCTTTTTCAGAGTGACTTCTTTCACTGAGTGATGTGGATTTAAGTTTCCTCCGTGTCTTTTCATGGCTTGATAACGCATTTCTTTTTAGTGCCAAATTATGTTCTGTTGTCTGGATGTTTATTTATTCACCTACCGAAGGACTGTTGGATGCTTCCAAGTTTTGGCAATTATGAGGAAAGCTGTTATAAAGATCTGTATGCAGGCTTTTTGTGTGAACATAACTCAAATATTTTTAAAGTTATATTTATTGAGGTATAATTTACATGTAGTAATATTCACGCTTTTTAGTGTAGAGTTCTGAGTTTTGACAGTTGTATCTAATCATGTAATCAACACCACAATCAAAATAGAGAACAGTTCCCTCATTTCTTTCCTGTCCCTTTTTAGTCCCCTTTTTCCACTTCTAGACCTTGGCAATCACCAGTCTGTTTCTGTCTCTATAGTTCTACCTTTTCCACAATATTGTGTAAGTGGTATCATTGTGTGTGTGTGTGTTTTGTATGTATATGTATGTCTCCTTTTGAGTCTAAATGCTTTCATTTAATGTGAAGTATCTGAGATTCATCCATATCATTATATGAAATACAAATGGAAGATAAGGTGATGAAAAGATGCTCAACATCTTTAATTTATCAGGAAAATGCAAATTAAACCACAATGAGATACTACTATAGATTGACTTTTAGAATGGCTAAAAATGAAAATGTACTGAGAATTGGCAAGAATACAGACCAATGGAAATTTTCATGCATTGCTTGTAGCAATGTAAAATGGTCTGTCCGCTCTGCAAAAGTTCTGCAGCTTCTTACACTATTAACCGTACATTTATCATTATGACTCAGCAATCCCACACTTAAGTAGTTACCCTAGATGAAAGAAAAATTCTGTTTACATGAAAACCTGTCCTCAAACGTTCACAGCAATTGTATAAATTGCCAAAATTAGGAAACAACATAAATGTACATCAGTGGATGAGTGATGAAACAAATGTGTACACTGATACTATGGAGGGCTGCTCAGACATAAAAAAATGATGTATTGACACTTACTACAACATGGATGAATCTCATAAGTGCTGTTATATTTGACCATGTGATAACCTGAATTACATTTGATAAAGTATTTATAAATATAAATAACTAGATTTATAATTTTAATTTTATATGTACCTGTCATTACATACTATAGTAAATTATGTCTGCAGTATGTTATATAGTATACTGTAATATTTATGACTGTATATTCCCTACTACAATAAAATAGTTTGTATTTTATATAAGGAGCATCTATTTTATAGTATATATTATCTATGATTACATAATTTTTATATTTTACATATCAAACTTTCACATAATATTTTGGTCATTTCTACTTTTACCTAGTTGCATTTAATGTTTGTAGTGTAAAGATATAACCACAGGAAGCCAACATGGTGGATCACGAGGTCAAGAGATCGAGACCGCCCTGGCCAACATGGTGAAACCCCATCTCTACTAAAAATACAAAAATTAGCTGGGCGTGGTGGTACACGCCTGTAGTCCCGGCTACTCGAGAGAATTGCTCGAGTAGCTGAGGCAATTACTGAGGCAGGAGAATTGCTTGAACCTGGGAGGCGGAGGTTGCAGTGAGGCAAGATTGTGTCACTATACTCCAGCCTGGTAACAGAGTGAGACTCCGTCTCAAAAAAAAAAAAAAAAAAAAAAACAACAACTACAATAAAAGAGGCCATAGAGTCCAGAGAACCCACAGTTGGAGACAGTGAACATTTTTTATTTGTCAAGCATCTCAATTCTGGCTGTTTTAACATCAAGGATACCTTTTCTGGCTTTGGCCCTTTGCACTGACTGTTCTGAGAGTACTCTGCTTCTCCAGTGCCCATGCATCTTGCTTTCCTCTCCCAGCTTTGGAGTGCCTCCACTCCCATCTCATCCTGTCACTGAAGTAACACATCTCTAGCGGTCACTTCCTGATCCCTTATGTAGTACTGTATTTGCATTGCAAATACTACTATCTGACCTGATTCAATATTCCTTTTTTTGATTTTTCATCCTTCTTCCCCACTGGACTATCATTCTCATGAGACCCAGACTTTGTCTTGTTTCTGCTGTATCCAAGGCACCCGCATGATGCCAGCTCAAAGCAGATGCTCAGTACAAGCTTGTTAAATGGATGAATGAATAGCAATAATATCAAGGTTGACCAAATGCCCCACAGATTGGTTACATGCATGGGGAAGTTGGTGGGGTGGTTCAGGTCCTCTAATTCAAGATTTAATGCCTGCCGCCATGGTCCAGCACACCCAGCTCTAACTCCATGTCAGGGTGGTGCCCAACTGAGTATCCTGCCTACATTCCCCACTGTTTACAAGGTCTCCTAACAGCCTCCTCCTGATCAGGGTGGCAGGCTATGTAGATGGGGAAAGGGGCAGTAGTGGGGGACCTATAGGCAGGGGGTCACTTCCATCAGCATCTACCCTAGCATTTTTCCATCCTGCACCCCATTGTCAGTGGTCATCTGCTCACCTCCTCCCCTGGAGCAGCCACTGGAAAATATGGAACCCTGGGAGCAAGAGGAATGTGGCAGGGCTGAGGGTTCTGGGCCTCAGGCACCTTGTAGGATGATGGATGTGATGCAGTGTGGCAGATGTTGACCCTGTGGCCAAAGTCAGGTTAAAGCCAAGGTTGTCATGGACACTTCCCATAATGCCAGGATTAATCACACCCTCCACTCTCAGCTTTTAATTGGGCTACTAGTGCCAATGTGACTTTTTTTTTTTTTCCAGACAGAGTCTTGCTTTGTCAACAGGCTGGAGTGCAGTGGTATGACATCAGCTCACTGCAATCTCCGCCTCCTGGGTTCAAGCGATTCTCCTGCCTCAGCCTCCAAAGTAGCTGGGATTTACAGGCACACATGCCACCACACCCAGCAGATTTTTTTGTATTTTTAGTAGAGATGGGGTTTCACTATGTTGGCAGGATGGTCTCGATCTCCTGACCTCGTGATCTGCCTGACTCGGCCTCCCAAAGTGCTGGGATAACAGGCGTGAACCACTGCGCCTGGCCCAATGTGACTATTTTTTTTTTTTTTTGAGACAGAGTTTCGCTCTTGTTACCCAGGCTGGAGTGCAATGGCGCGATCTCGGCTCACCGCAACCTCCGTCTCCTGGGTTCAGGCAATTCTCCTGCCTCAGCCTCCTGAGTAAATGGGATTACAGGCATGCGCCACCATGCCCAGCTAATTTTTTGTATTTTTAGTAGAGACGGGGTTTCACCATGTTGACCAGGATGGTCTCGATCTCTTGACCTCGTGATCCACCCACCTTGGCCTCCCAAAGTGCTGGGATTACAGACTTGAGCCACTGCGCCCGGCCCAATGTGACTATTATCTGTGGTATATCCTACCCCACCCCGCCACACTCTACTCCACATTCCCCATACCATACCATACACCTGCTATACCATACCACCACAGTTATACTTAATTCTACAATTATATGGATTCTATTAATGGTTTTAAATATAATCAACACAATTATACTTTATAATAAATATCAGAATCTTTGTCATTATTTGTTATATGCCTCTAAATTATTAAGATCTGATAAATAACAACATGTCAATTCTGATGCTAAGAATTCCTCTTAGCAGGAATTCTTGTTTCTGCCACCTTCAGGTGTTTGTATTATATAAATCCAGTAGTCCCACCTCGGGCGTGGTGTTTTCCACCCTCTGTGAAATCAGCACAATTAGATTATATACTTAATGATATTATTATGGTGCTATTTTAATATTTATTATAACAAGGAATACTGCTATTAAAACAAAAAATGCAGAGGAAGCAGGGGCAGAAAACAAACAAAACAAAAAAAAAAAAAAAAAAAAATGGGCCGGGCGCAGTGGCTCAAGCCTGTAATCCCAGCACTTTGGGAGGCTGAGGCGGGTGGATCACGAGGTCAAGAGATCGAGACCATCCTGGTCAACATGGTGAAACCCCATCTCTACTAAAAATACCAAAAAAATTAGCTGGGCATGGTGGTGTGTGCCTGTAATCCCAGCTACTCAGGAGGCTGAGGCAGGAGAATTGCCTGAACCCAGAAGGCGGAGGTTGCGGTGAGCTGAGATCACGCCATTGCACTCCAGCCTGGGTAACAAGAGCAAAACTCCGTCAAAAAAAAAAAAAAAAAAAAAGATGTTCTCTGTTTACATTTGTGAAACAGTGTTGG